AGTCTGGAGGGCGTGAAGGCGTTTTGGACCGATCGTGTAGCGATTGGGGACCCTCTTGGACCGTCTCGGGGGCCTCTTGGGGCACTCTTGGCCTGTCTTGGTATTTTCTGAGGCCCAAGAACCACCAGGGGGGGAATGCGTATCTGACCCCACCCACCCCTACCCACCCCGGGACCCCCCCTTACCCCCCTCGACGGGGGAGGGATCAAAGGGAAGGGGGCTCCCCTTCGATTCGGTTATCACAATACTAGATTTTTCTTTCGCTGACAAGCTTGAGCGGGAGAGCGTAGGGAAAGTGGACGACGGAGGCGACGGCTCAAACAGACAAGCCCCCCACACACTGACAGGATCGGCGGAACTGGTGCAACATCAGTGACGCAGTCTCTGTGGTGCAAACTATGTGGTGTAAGCGATGTGGTGAACATAATTCCTGTTCGCAGCGAGCTGTCAACTCCACTGCTCGCGCAATCATCCCACCCACCCACCCGCGATTTGGTTTGCAAAACCCATGCGGCGGCGATTGCGATGAGTGCATGGAGTTGACTGGTGCATCTCTGCGGCCGCGCATGCTCGCGCGCGAAGCGGCCAGCTAGTCTGGCGCGACCGACGCGGCCGCGGTGGCGCTGACCGCTGGACACTTCCCAGCGGACATTTCAGTGCGAGTCGGCGGCCTGGGCGGGCGCGATGTCATGGCAACACCGACAACAGTAGACGCGATGATGCTGGTAGCGATGCTGGTGACGATGGCGACAGCGCCGACGGCAAGGCCAGTGACGGCGCCGATGCTGATCACGCCAGAGACGACGACAGCGTTTTCGAGTCTGTGATGAAGGTTATGGAGTTATTTCGACATGTGCGCGCGGCCGACGCGCGGGAGTGGCCCGCATGGTATTATTTGAGACAGATCGCCCCCCCCCCCAACACGCGCGCAAGGGCGTTCGAATGATTTCGACGTGCGGCACGAGGGGGCCGTGTGGCAAAATTTCAGGACAATTGTGGAAACACGACGGCGTCCTCAATTCGGGACGCTCGATGTTGAAATCCCTACAGGATGTCCGGTTCTTGAAGGATGTCAGCATACAACGCGCGCGCAAAGGCATTCGAACGATTCGACACGCGCGCGCGACAGGCCCGCTTGGTAGCAACTTACGAACCTGTTGAAAAGCGCTTGGTTTTCTCACGTATTCGCCGATGCCCGGGCGCAAGCGTTTTTTGTTTGGAAAATCGTGTTGCGAAACCACAAATATTCATGTTTCCGGACATTCGATGTTGAAATGTTCACGTGCCTCCGGGTTTTTGAAGGATTGCGGCATGCGTGCGCGCCGACGCGCGCGTGTGCACTTCGTTCCGTCTTTTGCGAAGGAGTTTTGGGAAGTGATGATTTTTGATAAATTGGTGAAGACGAGCGGGGATGTTCAGGTTGGACCATGGGGCAGAATCGTATATAAATTGCAATACGGAAGCGGGATGCGAATGTGGAGAGGTAAGGGTAGATCTTCATATTTTTTAGATGGCGCTCAAAACGCCCCCGGGGGCAGCCGGCGCACAAAACGCCCCCGGGCGGCCACAAGGTGAAAACGCGGGCGCCCATACAGGCGCACTGAGCCCCCCCACGGGCGACAACCAAACCACAACCCGGAAACCTGTGCCGGCGCCTACGGCGACCACGGGCGGCCACTTGGCGAAAATTTGAAAAACGCCAGTCATTTGTTCAGAAGGCTAACAAAGCGTTTGTGCACAAGCATGGTGCGGATAATAAAACAGGATCGGGATTTGTAGTCCTGTTGGTTGGGGCTTTCGATGTCATCTTGGCCGACGCGGGAGCTCTCATTAGGTTCACCTGGACCCCAACTCCTTCTCAGTGCCTCTCATGGGACCCTCTCTGGGCTACTCCCAGGGTTTGCTCGGGGCACCCTGTTGGTAGCTCATGGATGCCTCGTAGGAAATTATCCCGGCCGTTTGGGATCAGACGTGGCCCTGTTGGGATCCTATCAGGGCCCTCTTGGGCTAGCATTGGGGTCCTCAATCTAGGTGTTGCAATCTTGGTAGTGCAATCAATCACTCGCCCAATTTGCAGCAGTCCTCTCCACTGCTGATGCAAACATCCAGCCCTCCCACCCGCAACTTGATCGCAAAATGTCTTAAGACCGTGACGGTGGGTACCAAATGGCACTTGGCAACGACACGGACACCGACGACGACATCGACAACGACGACGACGACGCCGCAGACAACGACTACGACGACACCGACGACAACAACGACGACGACGACACCGACGACGACGACAGCGACGACGCCGACGCCGACACCGACGACGACGATGACAACGCCGACGACGACGACGACGACGACGACGCCGACGACGATCACGACGACGACGACGCCGACGACGACAACGACGACGACGACGACGTCGTCAACGAAGACGACGACGACGACGACGACGAGGGAGGAGCGAGGACGACGACGGCGGCAACGACGACAACGACGAGGGAGAACGGCGACGACGCGAACGACAAAGAAGGAGGGAGGACGGCGACGCCGACGACGACAACGACGAGGGAGGAGGAAAAATGACGACGACGACGACGACGGCGACGAAATCTGAGAGACAACAAGACGACGAAAACGGCGACGAAAACGGCGACGACGACGACGACGGCAACGAAATAGGCGACGACGAAGACGACGAGGGAGGACTGACGACCATGGCAAAAACGACGACGGAAACGACGACGACGCCAAGACGACGACGATGACGAGGAAAGACAGAAGACGACGACGACGACGAGGACGACGACGACGACGACGACGAGGGAGGAGGGAGGTCGGCGACGACGACGACGACGCAATAGTGCTCGCGCACGCTTTTGTTGAAACTCCGTGTTGCGAAACCCTGTGTCTTTATATGTGTTTTGGACACTCGATTTTGAAACCTTTCCGAAACCGAAGATGTCTGAAGGATTTCGGCATGCTCGCGCGCCGACGCGCGCGTGCGCACTTCGTCTCATTTGTTGCTGAGGATTCTCGCGACGGCACGCGCGCAAGGGCGTTCGAAAGATTTCGACATGCGCGCGCGCGAAGCCCGCTTGGCAGCATTTGTTTTGAAAATCTGGAAGACAACCATAGTTTTCTCAAGATTTCGCAAGAGGCGCGCGCGTAAGTGTTTTTAGAACATCAGTGTTGCGAAACCCTGTGTTTTTGTATGTGTTTTGGAAGTTCGATTCTGAAATCCTTCCGGAACCGAAGGTTTTTGAAGGATTTCGGCATGCGCGCGCGACGACGCGCGCGTGTGCACTTCGTCCCGTTCATTTCAAGGGATTGTTGAAATCCTACGATCACAAAAACGAGTGTGCGCGCAAAGGAACCGATACCGGTTGGACATTGGGTCAGAAGTTCCTGGGGGGTCTTTAACCCCGGGGGGGAGGGTGGTAGAACACGTTCCTTTCTTAGGAAGGAGAATCCATGCGGTGCAATCCACGTGGCGCAAAACAACGCAAAGCAAAGCAATGGCAAGCGATCGCAATGCGCTCGGGAGGCGCTAGCATTGCAATGCAGCACAAAGGAATGCAGCGTGGTAAAAAGCCATGTGAAGCAATGCAAAGCAATGCACAGCTCTACAAAGCAATGCGCCGCAATGAAAAGCCATGTACAGCAAGGCGCATCAATGCAATGCAAAGCAATGCCAAATCAATACGAAAGCAATGCGATAGCAATGCCAAGCAATGCAGTAGCATTGCGGCATCCATGCGAGATCAATGCAACACAATGCAAAGCGATTGCACCGCAATGCAAAGCAACGACAAACGATGCAAAGCAAAGCAATGTAAAGCAATGCAATAGCAATGCAAAGCAGTGTAACGCACTGAAGGGCAATGCAACTCAATGCAAACTAATCCCAGGGAGTGCAAGGTCGTGCGAAGCAATGCAATGCAGTGCAGTGCGATTGCACTCCAAAGCAATGCAGAGCAGTACAGAGCAGTGCAATACAATGCAAAGCAACTCGACTGCAAGGCAAAACAGTGCAATGCGATCCAGCGGCGACGGCGGCGACGGGCGACGGCGGCAGCGGCACCGGGCGGCTCAGTTCCCACCGTCGACGGCGGCGGTGACGGGCTGCGGCGGACGGCTACGTGTCGCCCAGACCGTCGCACGGGCCCAGGTCCTGCATGGGAGAATTAAGGCACCCTAAGTGCAAGCACCGTTTGATGAATCTGTTGTCTTCAGTGGCAGTTGTTTTGCGGTGCCTCCGCTGGAACCGTCGTTGCCTCGTGGCAAAATATTGGCGCCCGTTGGGGTCGTCCTCGAGGCTGTCGTGGACCGCTGGGGGCAACCCTGGGAATGCACGGAGGCCATCTTGGACTTTCTTGGAGACCAGATTGCGCGATCAGCTCCGCATTGTTGGGCTCTTACAGTGGAAGCCCATACCAAGAATTACCCTGCTTGCCTCCAGGGTCCCCTGGGTTTCTTGGGTTTCGATGGTTTGCCCTGGAAAGCGTAACGTTCCCACGCCAAAAATCTATCAGCGTCCTGGGGTTCCAGGGTTGGGTTCTTGTGGAAGGTTTCTTGTGGATCGGCCCCCACTGTGTGGCAACAGCATCTCACACACAGTCACAATGTATCTGCATCATGTTCGATTTGGTTTTGAGACGGGCTCTACGTTCCTCACGCCCTTTTGCGGATCGGCCCCTCTGGTGCTCTTCGCGCATTCGGGCGCTAACGATGGCCAGAAGGGGGTGTCGTTCCTTCTCCAGGGTCCACTGCGGCAAAAGTCTGCCCGTTCAAAAGGCTGGCGTCGCGATGATTTCGGCGTTTGTCTTTGACACCCCGTGGATCGTTCAACGTTGAACGATCACGGTTCCGATTCCGATGGGGCAGATTGTTCGTTATCGTCCGATGTGGGGCCACGTGGTGGCGTTCAATCTTGAACGCCCGCTCTGGGGTCACCGCCGCGGCAACGCGGCGCGAACCTGCCGTATCCTGCCCTCCTGGGCAAGCGGGGGCCGGCGGATTTCATGCACGGCAGTGCCGCTTCCCTCGCCGCGCAGGACTTCGCTGGCGACGTGGACTGGCTTGCCGTGGCATCATCCGTGAGTTTCTTGCTCAACCAAGCTGCTAGCGTCGCGTGGGGGCAGTGCCCTGTCGTCGAGGCGTGGTTGGACAGAACCGACATCAGTGACCCCGAGAAGATTGACGCGTTTGTCGAAGGCCTGCTGGCCAGCAAGAGCAGCTGATCTAGATTCGCCTCTGCACGCGCGACGGCAAAGAGAGGCTCTGGCTATGTCTCCAGGGGAGCAGGAAGGCACGGCCCCGCCAACGGGAAGCATGTTAAGGCAAGGGAGGAGGAGGAGGAGGAGGAGGAGGAGGAGGAGATTCGATGAGAGTCAAGCATTGAGGGCTTGGGGATGATCCTCGGCTGCGCACTCAGGGGAGAAGGCAGAGTGGGCGGACCTCCTCAGGAGGCTCAGCAGGCCCCCGGCCCTCTGAGAAGCCTCCTGCGCCTTCTCCGAAGCCCCGCAAGGAGGACTGCCCCCTCTCACTTCCCCCCCGAAGTGCACCGCTGCTGCCAGTGGGGGAGCCAAAGGGTACCGATGCCGCTGCTCCCCGGGACTCTCCTGGGCTGCGCTCTGACCAGAATTTCGGGGAGAGTCCAGCGGTGGCGACGAGGGCCTCCCAGGAGGCCCAAGCAGGCGAAACCAAGGGAAGGGTAGCGGTATGGGTACCCATCGGTCGTTGAAAGTAGGTATTTTTGGATTCCCAGATTCCAATCTACTTTAAGCGCTTTCCTACTTCAACGATCGAGTGGATTCACCTTCTCCGTCCTCTTTCGGGGGCGGGCGGACGCCCAGTCTACTTTCAGCGCCTTCCTGCTTCATGTTTCCACCTTTCTGCCCACTTCCGACCGATGGGTACCTCTTCCTCCTCTGAGGAAGGCTTGGGGCCTCAGAGGCAAAAGCAGCAGGCACAGTGGCCGCGCCCGCGCCCCGTGCTGCCACGGGGCCGTCGCGGAGGGGCGCCGCCCACCTCGGTGCATATAGTTGGCTCTCCCGTGGCAGGCCGCCCGCGCGGAGCGCGGCTCTCCCTCCGGGAGGGAGAGCCGCGCGCCGCGGATCCTGGGCCGTGAGGGGCGGCGCCGATCTCGGGAGGATCGAGGAGGAGGGGGAGGACGAGGAGGAGGAGGAGGAGGAGGAGGAGGAGGACGAGGAGGATCGAGGAGGAGGAGGAGGAGGAGGAGGAGGAGGATCGAGGAGGGAGGAGGAGGAGGAGAGAGGAGGAGGAGGAGGAGGAGGAGGAGGAGAGGAGAGGAGAGAGGAGGAGGAGGAGGAGGAGGAGGAGGAGGAGGAGGAGGAGGAGGAGGAGGAGGAGGGAGCAGGGGGGCTCGGCTTCGCTCGGACGTGGTTCCCCACAGGCTCAGTGGGGTGCTTGTTGTCTTCCCACACGCGTCGCACCCGCGTCTTCCTCACGCTCGCCCTCCCCCCCTCCCCCTCTCCCCTCGTCCTCATATTCCTCCTCCTCCTCCCTCCTCCTCCTCCTCCTTCTCCTCCTGCCTCACCCCCCCACCCACGCGCAATACCGCGCGCCGCGGCCTGGGCTGGAGGGGCGGTGCCGATCTCAGGGGCAACGGCAGGGGAGCTCGGCCTCGCCCAGACGTAGCTCCCCACATACTCAGTGAGGCGTCTGTTTTCTTCCTACCCGCGTCGCACCCGCGGCTTCCTCACGCCCGCCCTCCTGCCTTTCTCCCCCTCCTCCTCCTCCTCCTCCTCCTCCTCCTCCTCCTCCTTCTTCCGTTCTTCATTTTTTCCTTTATTGTTTTCTTCCTGTCTTCCTTTCTTCCTTCCTTCCTTCCCCCACCCACGCGCAGCACATGCACTGCCTGTAACTGAGACACGCGTCACTATACAGCCGCACTCGTGCACTCACTCGCGCACACATACACACAACATGAAACGCTAGTGCACGCCTGGCGTTCTCACGTAGGCATGTTTTCGGCGAGGGCCATCGAGGAGCATCTTGGATCAGTTGCGGGAAAGAATCATGAGACGTAATTCCCCACATGCTTCGTGAGGTTCTGGTGTTCTTCCCACCCGCGTCCCGCCCGCGAACTTCACTCACTCCTCACCTCCCCATTCTCCTTCTCACCTGCACTCGCGCGCAACACATCTGCACACAGCACACGTACATACACATACACACAGCATACGTGCACACTACGCATCATCGGTCGAACGTAGGCATTATTTTCGGCGAGGGCCGTCGAGGAGCATCTTGGATCATGTTGTGGGTCATGTACTTAGACCGCGCGCCGCAGCCTGGGCTGGGAAGGGGTCCTCGCAGAAGTTGAAGGATTTGGCGAAAGTTTCCCGCCGATTTTGGTCGCACGCTGGGTTCCCGGGTTCCCAGTTCCAGGTTCCGGGCCGATTTCGGTGAGCGGCGAGGTTCCGGGGTTCTCGGGTTCTTGGTCGATCTTCTCATCGATCGGTCTCACCATCGATTTCATTACCCACCCCTGTATCGATCCCACCATCGATCTCGATCTCGCAATCGATCTTTCGATCGATCTCACAAGCGATCTCACTAGAGATCGCACGATCGATCTCGTCGTCGATCTCCTTATCGATGTCATTGATTCGATTGCACTCTCGGTCTTACATCGATCCTACACTCGAATTCATTATTGATCTCACAAAAGACCCCAAGATCCATACGACTAATTTTCAAATCATCCACTGATCGGAGTTTTCTCAAGTACAATGCTCTTAGACCGCGCGCCGCAGCCTGGGCTGGGAGGGGCGGTGCCAATCTCAGGGGCAGCGGCAGGGGGTCTCGGCATCGCTCGGGGGCAGGAACTTTTTCCCAACCATCCTGTGGTGTCAGGTCTTCGTTTTGAAGGGACGGTCCCCGCGTGCCTCCTCTCTCCTCTCTCCTCCCCCTCCTCCCCCTACTCCCCCTACTCCCTCCTCCCTACGTTCCCCCCACCCAGTACAGCGCTTCGTGGCCCCATAGGGAGCTCCACCAAAGGCCCCAGTAGGGGAGAGCGCATGCGGCGGCCACACCTAATACAGCGCTTCGTGGCCCCATAGGGCACGCGACCGACGGCCCTTGTGGCGGTGCCCGCATGCGTCCGCCACACCCAGTACGGCGTTTCGTGGCCCCATGGGGGGCTCCACCGAAGGCTCCAGCGGGGGTGCCCGCATGCGTCCGCCACACCCAGTATACCGCTTCGTGGCCCCATGGGGAGCTCCACCGAAGGCTCCAGCGGGCGTGCCCGCATGCGTCCGCCACACCCAGTACAGCGTTTCGTGGCCCCGTATGGAGCTCCACCAAGAGCCCCAGTGGCGGTGCCCGCATGCGTCGGCCACACCCAGTACAGCGTTTCGTGGCCCCGTATGGAGCTCCAGCGGAGGTTCCAGTGGGGGTGCCCGCATGCTTCCGCCACGCCCAGTGCAGCGTTTCGTGGCCCTATATGGAGCTCCACCGAAGGACCCAGTGGGAGTACCCGCATGCGTCCGCCACACCCAGTACAGCGTTTCGTGGCACCACGGAGCTCCACCGAAAGCCCCAGTGGGGTGGGCCGCATGCGTCCGCCACACCCAGTACGGCGTTTCGTGGCCCCTATGAGGGGTATCCAGCGAAGGCTCCAGTGGCGGTGCCCGCATGCGTCCGCCACACCCAGTACAGCGTTTCGTGGCCCCACAGGGAGCTCCACCGAAGGACCCAGTTGGGGTGACCGCATGCGTCTGCCACACCCAGTACAGCGTTTCGTGGCCCCATAGGGCACGCGACCGACGGCCCCAGTGGGGATGCCCGCATGCGTCCGCCACACCCAGTACAGCGCTTCGTGGCCCCACAGGGAGCTCCACCGAAGGCCCCAGTGGGGGTGCCTGCATGCGCCGGCCACACCCAGTACAGCGCTTCGTGGCCCCATAGGGAGCTCCACCGAAGGCTCCAGTGGGGGTGCCCTCATGCGTCTGCCACTCCCAGTGCAGCGTTGTGTGGCCCCGTGTGGAGCTCCAGCGAAGGCCCCAGTGGGGATGCCCGCATGCGTCCGCCACACCCAGTACAGCGCTTCGTGGCCCCACAGGGAGCTCCACCGAAGGCCCCAGTGGGGGTGCCTGCATGCGCCGGCCACACCCAGTACAGCGCTTCGTGGCCCCATAGGGAGCTCCACCGAAGGCTCCAGTGGGGGTGCCCTCATGCGTCTGCCACTCCCAGTGCAGCGTTGTGTGGCCCCGTGTGGAGCTCCAGCGAGGCCCCAGTGGGGATGCCCGCATGCGTCCGCCACACCCAGTACAGCGCTTCGTGGCCCCACAGGGAGCTCCACCGAGGGCCCCAGTGGGGGTGCCCGCATGCGTCGGCCACGCCCAGTGCAGCGCTTCGTGGCCCCATAGGTAGCTCCACCGCCACACTCAGTACAGCGTTTCATGGCCCCATAGGGAGCTACACTGAAAATTCGCAGACGTCCCAAGCATTCGTCCCCCCCCCCTGCTCGCACTGCCCCGCGCATCGTTCGTCCTACGGCGCGCTGCCTATGAGAGCAGAGCGTACTCCGCATGCGTTATTCGGGGTTTGCGTGTCCTTCTTCGTCTCATCTCCCTTGCGGTTCTCGCAGCTGCATCTGGTTGGGTCTTTCGCCAGGCTAATTTTTTGTTCGGGGCCTCATTGGGGCCCTCATCGCCACCGCTGGATTCGCATCGAAATTCTGGTCATAGCGTGCCCTAGGAGAGGTCCAGGGAGTAGCGGCATCGGTATCCCTTGCTGTCCCCACAGGCAGCGGGGGGGGACTCGGCATCGCCTGGACGTAGGTCTCTTGCCTCGGCGAGAGCCATCGGGGAGCATCTTGGATCACCTTGCGGAAGCACAGACGCACGAGGCAGGAAAAGGCACGTGGAGTGGGCGTCCGAGCGATGGAGGGGGGGGGGGGGGGAAACGACGAGGAGGAGGAGGAGGAGGAGGAGGAGGAGGAGGAGGAGGAGGAGGAAGAGTGGGAAGAGGAGGAGGAGAAGGAAGAGGAGGAGCAGCAGCAGCAGCAGGAGCATGAGGAGGAGGAGCAGGAGGAGGAAGAGGAGGAGGAGGAGGAGGACGAGGAGGAGGACGACGACGAGGGCGAGGAGCTCATGGGGGAGCTCCTCGGCCCCTTCCCGCCCACGGATCGCCGAAAGGGTGGAGCGCGACGGCCCGCCTCGCTCAGAAATGTGCGCGGAGCCGCTATCGGGGGGGGCCTATCGGGGGCGATGCATTGCCTGATGGGCAAGTGTCCCACCACCACCACTACCATATGTAGGACGGGGGAGGAGAAGAGAGGATGAGGAGGTCTTCTTTTTCCTCCTCCTCCTCCTCCTCCTCCTCCTCCTCCTCCTCCTCCTCCTCCTCCTCCCTCTCCTACATATGGTACTGGTAATGGAAAATGCATTCAACATTGCCAATTCAAGCTCGAAGCCCCCCCCGAGCAGGTCCCGCCTGGCGTTCCCCCTCATCCAGCGGGAGGTGGGGGCAAGCGCGTGGCGTGCGGCGAAAAGCGCGATCGAAGCGCGAAGATTAGCAGCCTGGCTGTGCGAAAGCGAGCTTCGCACTTCCAGGCGGGAGGTGTTCCGGGTAGAGTTCGCCGACGGGGGGAAACGCAGCTTGTAAGAGTGCGCTGGATGCATGCCCGCCCCCGCGGCCCCGCCAGACACCGGACCGCTCGGGCCTGGCAAGAGCGCGGCCCCAGCTCCTATGATGCAAAGCCGAGGCAAGCCGGAGGAGGAGGAGAAGCAGGAGGAGGAGAAGCAGGAGGAGGAGACACTGGTTCATCCGCAGGACAGGACAGGACATGACGCCGTTCACGAGCCGTGCGCGCGCGCGACTGCGTGCCCGAAGGGCTCAGCGGAACTTGATCGGCCCCTTTCGCCAGTGGGTGTCCTCGGGCCTTGCGCTCGTGAGGATCCCAGCTCTGGACGCTTAGTGCCCAGCGCTCGCCACGCATAGTTCGCCACTCTGGCGCTGGGTCACCCGCAGGGTGCGGAGACGATCGCGTTTCGCGCTTCGCCAGACGCGAAGCGCAAAGCCCGGCGACCTGGAAGAAGACGCGAGGCCACGCCGCTTCGGCGGTCCAACTGCTCTCGGCCTCACTCCAAGCTCGGCAACTCGGCGCGAGCTCGGCGGGGGCGCGTCGATAGCGTGAGCTTTCGAGACAGGGCTTCAAGGCAAATCAGCACATGCGTGTGACGTTGTTTGATGTGGTGTTGGTCTTGTTTCTCTTTCCTCCGACAGGGCTGTGGGCCAGCCCCTGGTGGGGTCTCTCTCCCTCCCCCTCATCCATCCTCCTTCTGGTTCCATCCTTGCATGTCCTTCCTCCTTCCTCATCCCCGTCACTTCTCCTGCTCCTCCCTCTCGATCTCCTGGCTTCCCGCCTCCCTCCCTTCTCCCCCCGTCCTTCCTCCGTCATTCCCCATCTCCCGTGCCTGCTCCTTCGGTCCGTCCCTCAGTTGCTGGCGGCGGGCTACTCGACGACTCACGGCAAGAACGCCAGTGATGGCATCGTTGCCAACAAGGCCTTGCCGACGGCCGTCTTTCACCTCCTCCTCCTCATCATCATCATCCTCGTCCTCCTCTTTACTATCCTCCCGACCCTGCTCCTCCCCGTCTTGCTTTTACCTTCCCCTTCCTGCTTCTAACTCCCCCTTCCCACCCTCCTCCTCCTTGCCCTGACCGCTCTCCCCATCCCCTCCTGCTGCTACTCCTCCTCCCTGCTATCTCTCTGGTTTGTCATCCTCCTCCCCTTTCTTCTCCTCCTCCTCCTCCTCCGTATCCTGCGTTTCCTCCTGACCTGCTCCGCACGAGCAGCGTATGGCGGCATTCCTGGCAAGAGCCCGCGATCGCGGGCCGTCTCGAGGCAGGAGCAGTGTCCAGCGGCCCTGGCCCCGCGATGCCCTCCTGGCCATGGAGTCATCTGTCCTCTCGACTGGTCTTGAGGCGCCGTCTGAGGCCGTCTGGTCTCATCGTATTCTTAAGTCGGGCCTGTCCCTCTACAGGAGGAGTATTCAAAAATAGTCCAAACATAGTCTGGGGATGATTGTTTTTTTCCCATTGTGGAGTATTGTTCTACTGTTTTTTATTCTTCGTCCAAAATCCGCCTGTAGGAGGACATGCCCGACCTAATCGTATTCTGGCCCTGCTCCTCTCCCACCGCCTCCTCCTGCCTCCGTCGGACGGGGCTGGGACGAGGACGAATCCGTTCCAGGGCGCTCTGGGCCGCTATCGGGGCGCTCGGGAACGCTCTGAGAAGGAGGCGGCGCCCGAGACATCCTCCAGAGCCGCCGGATCTCGGAGATCATCCAATTATCCTCCCCCGGTGTTGTCCTCACCCGGTTTTATCCTCACCTGATCTCAGAGATCCTCGATCTATCCTCACCCGATGTTGCCCTCGTCCTGGCTTCCTCTTGCTCCTCCGTCGGGCGCCCGCTCCCCTCCTCGGGCGCTGCCGGCGCCGGCCCCCCGGCGGCGCCCCAGGGGCGTGTGCTTGCTGGCGGTCTGCAGCTCGGCCCCGCGGTCAGGGGCACGAGTTGCCTGCGCGTGTGCGCGCGTCTCGCCGGTTGGCACTGTGCACGCAGGTCGTTGAAAGTAGTTGTCGGTCGGGCATGGCCCCCTACAGGACGAACATTCAAAAACAGATCAACAAATATTGTGGAGACGATGTTTCTACTGTTTCCAAGTTTTTTGTTGGCTGTTTCCCACCTAAAAAGTCGGTATTTCTGGAGATCCAGGTCCCAACCTACCTTGGGCGCCGGAGTGGAGTGGCCTTCCTCTTCCCCTCCCCTCGTCCTCAGGTGGCAGGCGGAGGCCCGATCTACCTTCAGCGCCTTCCTACGGTGGGGGCGTTGGTTAAGGAATGTGCCCAGGAGGCTTCAGACCCTGGAGAGTTCCCTATCTGATGAGGGCGGCGGTGGCATCCATGGCCAAGCCTCGATTGGAGTTCCACTGGCCTCCAGACCCTGGATTCCTTGTGGAAGGGTTCCTTATCCAATGCCCCCACCGTACTTCGTGCGTCTGCCCACTTCTCGCGACCGACGGGTACCTCGCCTTCCCCCCTGGCCATTCCTGCGGGCGACCTGTGGCCGGCCACGGCGCTGTTTGATCTGAGCGGACTGCCAGCTCGGCCGCCAGCCGCGCGCGCGCGTCCTCTTCTCCAGTCTTGGACGCCCCGTCGCCGCGCGCGGGGCCGCGAGGCCAAAAGTGTGCGTGTGTGTGGGTGTGGGTGAGTGTGTGTGTGTGTGTGTGTTTGTTTGTGTGTGTCTGTGTGTCTGTGTGTGCGTGTGTGCGTGTGTGTGTGTGTGTTTGTGTGTATATGTGTATGTGCGTGTGTGTGTGTGTTTGTGTGTGTTTGTGTGTCTCTGTGTGTGTGTTGTGTGTATGTGTGTGTACTTGTGCCTGTGCTTGTGCTTGTGCTTGTGCTTTTGTGTGTGTGTGTCTGTGTGTCTGTGTGTATCGGCGCGCGTGCCTTGTCTCGAGGCCGCCTGTGCACCCCTCGTGGCGAAGGTTCTCCCTCTTCTTCGCCCAGCTTGCTGCGCGTGCCAGCAACTGCCGGCCGCGGTCCGACGGCTGTTCGAACGCGATGTGCGTTCGCCCTCGCCGTTGGCCGCACAAGTGCGCACCGTGCTTTGTTTATGGAGACAGGGGGTGGGGTGGGAGAGGGGAGCAAAAGGGCACAAAATGGCCCTTCCTGGTGAGGTCTTGGGCCTCCGCAGGTTTCCGAAGCCTTGTCAATTTTGAGGCGGATGGGTTTGCGCGTCTTCGGCCTCTGGGGGCCCTTCTCGGGACCCCGTGGGATAAGGACCAGCACTGAGAACCAGCACCGCCGCACTGCCATCTCGCATCCTTTATTTTCTCGCATCGGTTTCTAGAGTGACAATTTCATGTCGGAACGCGCGCACAGAACCGGCACGGCATACTCCCATCCCGGCCAGCCCGGCTCCCCCTCTCCCCCCGGCCAGCGCGCCCCTTCCGCCCCGATCACTTTGTTTCGGCAAGATCCAAGAAGTCCGCGCGGAGCGCCAGAAGTTTATGTTTATACCTTTCTTTCATTTTCTACAGAAGAGACTCCGCCCGAGTGAGGACGATCGGGGCGATTGAATTTGGTAGGGAAACGACGGGTACAGATTCCGACAGCAGTTCTGGTTCACATTTTGCACAGAGTTCGCTGTCGGCGTCGCAGCGGCCGTTGTCCATTTAGGAGAGAAGGCCGCCTGCCCAATAGCGGCCGCTGTCGGTTCTGGGCAGCATTTGTTGTTGGGCATCGTTCCCATGTTTGTCCGTACCCATGTCGGGCGCCCAAAGTCGACGAGGGAACGAGGTTGAAGCCAGCTTCTCGTCCTCGTCCTCAGTAGCCCTTTTTGTCCAAGACTTTGGTCCAGAGTGCCGCTGCTGTTCCTGATGTCGGGACCCATAGCGCATGCAGTCTCCGGTGCAATTCGCGGTGCTGCGCGAGCGCTTCAAAATGCCGACGCATTGCTCGTTACAGCTGGGGCTGGAATCGGCGTTGATTCTGGCCTGCCAGACTTCCGAGGTGTGGAAGGGCTTTGGCGTGCATACCCGCCCTTGCGTGGTCGGAACTTGGGCTTCTCCGATATGGCGAATCCTGGTTGGTTTCAAATCGAGCCAAGTTTCGCTTGGGGATTCTACGGGCACAGACTAAATCTTTACCGGAACACTGTGCCTCACAGAGGATTCACGCGCCTCTTAGAGTGGGGCGAAGCCCTTCCTCATGGAGTTCGGGTCTTTACAAGCAATGTAGATGGGCAGTTTCAGACGGCAGGGTTTCCCTCGGATCGCGTCTGCGAGTGTCATGGCTCTATACACTGGCTGCAAACACTAGACGGTGGCAGTATATGGCCCGCAGACGGTGTGGTCTTGCCAGACATCGATGCCGAAACCTTGTCGATCCCAGACTCTGCGCTGCCCCGTTGGCAGGAGACTGGTGAGCTCGCGCGGCCGAACATTCTGATGTTCGGCGACTGGAACTGGAACGGAGAGCGAACCGAGCGCCAGCAGTCTGATCTGAAGAGGTGGCTCGGAAGCGTACCCCTGGACCGCCTGCTCGTGATCGAGCTCGGTGCCGGCTCGTCTGTACCGACAGTGCGCATGTTCAGTGAACGGCTGGTACGGAGCGGGGCAGCCCTGGTCCGGATAAACACGCGAGAGCCCGAGGTGCCACTTCCGACCAGTTCTCATCCTACAATCGGGATTCCCCTGGGCGCGCTGGAAGCCCTGGAGGGGATCGCTGGGGAGCTGTAGCCGTAGGGCGCTTCACACGAGGAGGCCCAGTTGGGCATGCCCTCGAGCAGCAGCTTCGAGGGAAAAGTGCCCATCCGCCCTCGTCTTCGTCCCGATCCCGCGCTCGCCGATGACTGTAGGGAGATGGTTCGAGCGGCCATGGTCAGAAAGGCCGGCTTCCGAAACTGGGGCAATCCACGATCATGATCGCGCGCAGCGCCCAGAGCAGCTCCCGCGTTGTAAGGGCTGGGGGACGTCGCGAGTGTGGCAGAAGTGCAACATGGGGGGCGCAGGCAGGGCGCAAACTGCCATGGCTGCAACATGGATGCCCCGAGTAGGGCGCGAGCACGACCCTATATGAAGAAGGAGTCCTCTGACCGCGGCGTCCGTCGATGGCCCTCCAATCTGTCTGGCGGCCTTGGCCCATCCCGCCGCCATGCCTGGGTTGCAGGTCCGAGGCTTCTTGGATGCCTGACGGGATCTGTTGGGAGGCCTCTCGGAAGCCTCCTGGAGGCAAACTTTGGGTGTCTTGGGGCTTCTCGGTGTTGGTCCTCTGATCGCGGCGTCCGTCGATGTCCGCCAATCTTGCGGTCGGGAACTTCGGCCGGTTCTGGCTCCCCAGGCATCGGCGCGACATCTTCTGGGTCCCCAAGCGTCCACGTCCCGCGCCTTTCCGAGCCTCCCGCCCCGCGGAGCGAAGCCACACGCGATCACGTTGCACGGCACAGTGTGTTGCCGGGGCCGCCGCCGCGGCACACCAACCAAAAGTTCCCGACCGTATCTCCTTCGCGGATCAAGGGAGGATCGCCGATCCCTCCCTGGAGGCGGGGGGCGGTGGTCGCGGCCGGGGGGCGGCCTGCGCGCGGGCGGGGCATGGTCGCCGGCGGAGCTTCCTGGGCTCCAGTCGTGGGTTGCCTCGCGGTCTTCCTCTTCGTGGGCGGCGTGTACAACCTGCTCTTCCTGTCCCGCATACTCCCCGCGGTGGGCAAGGCTCGGGCTGGGAGTCGGAGGCGGAAAAGGTACCCATACCGCTACCCTTGCCTCATTTTCACTTTTTTAGGCCTCCTGGGAGGCCCTCGTCGCCACCGCTGGATTCGCCTCGAGATTCTGGTCAGAACGCGCCCTGGGAGAGGTCCGCGGAGTAGCTGTTGTATTGGTACCTTTTGGTCTCCCCCGGGAGCCGCTGTGACGTCCCCCCCCCACACACACATACGGTGGGGGCGTTTGTCGAGGGGAGTTCCCAGGAGACTTCAGACCCTGGGGAATCCCTCATCGGTGAGGGCGGCAGTGAGATACATGGCCAAGCCTTAACTACTGCCTCCACCAGCCTACTCTCTCAGGAGGGAGATATAAACATAGACACTGTTAAAAGTCGATTCCCATGAAAGTGTGGGGAATATGGGAAGTGGACGTGACGACAAACCTCATGAAAATCGGCAATCCCTCATCCAATGATTCAAAGTTTCGAAGGAAGAGAAAACATCAATTGTGACCGTCCGCGCGGAGCGCGCCAGGGGCGGCGCCGGAGGCGCCGCCAGGGGGGCCCAGCACAGACCCAAGAAGTCCGCGCCCACCGTCAATAGTTCTTGTTTAGCCGGTGATCGACTGCAGAATAGGGGATCGACTACATATTGATGTAGCCCAATAGTGATGTCTCGCCGGATCTACATAGACAAACCAAGCATGCTCCGCAGATCCACGGAACAGTCTACGCTTTTCTGTCGTAGAGCCGGCGGGGAAATCCATACTGGGGTGCATCGATTCTGTGGTCGAGATCCCCTGCTTGAGTTCTCCAGCAGCCCCTTTTTCAGGAGGGAAAGAAACACACAGACACAATTAATCGTCGGTTTTCCAGAACATATGGGAAAATATGGGAAGCGGGGGGGGAAGACAAAAACTCAGAAAATATAGGAAAAAATGGGGAATGTTTTTATTTGTGTGTATTTATTTGTGTGTTCCAGGGCCTCTTCAGTTTTCGAGTTCTTGGCGGCGCGCTTGCGCCCCCCGTGGCCTGGCCGCGAGGGGAGGGGGCGTGCGCACTGCTGGCCCGAGTGCGGCCCCACGGATGTCGCAGACCCCGGGGCCGACGGTGTCGGCGTGGGGCGCGGCCTGCGGCTGTGGCCGAGACGCCCTTGGGGGAGGGGGGGGGGGGGCGGCGAGCACGTGGGGGGGGGGGGAGGAGGAGGAGGAGGAGGAGGAGGAGGAGGTATGGTATGGTATGGGTTTGCGCTAAACGCGGGGTCAAGCCCCAATTCAGAAGGACTCGGCGTCGGAGTCGCCCTCCTCAGGGCTGTCCGCGCTCCGCAGCAGGGCCGAGCGGCCGAGGTCGCGGACCAGTTCGAGCTCCCCCTCCCACAGCCCAAACGCCCTCAGCACCTCGGCCCGCCCCCCATGATCAGCCCGCCCCCATCCGCCACAGGCCCCGACGCTTTGGGCCGCGGGCTGTGGCTCTGGGGGCAGGCTCAGCTCGGCCTCGGCGAGGCTCGAGCGGGTCGCTGGCAGCACTCCATGCGGCTTCCCGACCTTCAGCGAGCGCACATTGGCGCGGTACGAGGGGAACTCTCCATTCTTGATCCTCCGCAGCTGGTCTACGCCTCCAGCTTTGGCCTTCTCGGGGCACCACCCCCTTAGGCCTGGGGATAACTTGCCGTCCGAGGAAACGGTGCCACAGCGGCAACAGAAGACGACAGAAGAAACGTGGGCAGTGCGGCAGAGCACATCAGCCTCCAGCAGGTTGTGGCCTTGCCACCAAAAACTGGCATCTGCATATTCTTCCCACCCGTCTCCCACCCCGTACGGCGACCCCACCTCCCCTCCACGGCTGCGCGCCTGGGGCTCAGGCTCGGGGTCTTCTGGGGTCTCTGGGTCCTCCTCGGCAGTAGCGCCCCGAGACCTCCAGTACGCTTCCATCAAATCTTCGTGGTCCTGGCCATTGGACTCTACGTGCACCCAAGCCGCCCAACGGGCGGACTCTTGGGCTAAAAACAAAAAGCCTTGCCACAACTGAAACTGCTCTTCGCCTACGCCGTGCTCCGCGGCACCGAGCTTCGCAAACCTGTCGGCGTGGGCGTTCCCTCTGTACTCCCACTCCGTGGTAACACCCGCATCTACCTGGGCTCTGGTACAGTGGGCCTTGGTTTTAAAAACTTGGAAGTCCCCTTCGGAGAACGCACCCCAGAACGAACTCCAGAGCTGGGCCCGACCACAACTGCTTTGGGATCCAGAGCCCGCGCCGCCCCGCAAAGTCCCAACAGTGCCTGCACAGTCGATGAAGACGTCGAAGGGCGCCATAGCACAAACGCGCAGCATCGAGACGGCGTAATCCTCCGCGTCTCTGGAACTCTGCTTAGGGCAAATACGACGTGGGACGGGCCCGTAGGCCGCCGACATTACATCGCCAAAGCTATCCACCTGCACGATGGCCCAGCCCGCTCGGGCCAAAAACGGGGCCGAGGCCCATAAGGCCGACCCGTCTAAGAACAGCGTGCCACTCAGGAGCCCTGACTCAGGACGGTTGTGCCACAAGATGGTCTCTTGGGCCTCGGTCGCGACGTGGAAGACCAACTCTGGCGACGGGAACAGGCCTCTCGCAAACCTCTCCCCCTCGTCGTACCCCCATTCGCGGACCCTGCGGGCCCTCGTCCTGTGGAAATCGTCAACCCATTCACGTCTAAGCCCTGCATACTTTGGGCACTCATATGCCCTGTGCCACAAGGACCCGTCGGGATCTCCACATACAAGACACCTCGCTGAGCCAACAAGTCCATGGTGGTGAAGCCGACTTTGTGGCCAGTGTCCTCCAGAAACCAAGGATCTCAACGTCCTCTGAAACCTCTTCGTCCAGGATCCCTTGGTTCGATGCAGGAGCCCCTCAAGTCCTGCCCAAAATATCGGCAAATTCCACCTGGCTTTGGGCTCACGACAAAAAAGAGCTTGGCGATCGGAAGCTCGCCTGGCTCCTGCAACTGCTAGCTCCTGAACAAGCGCTGGAGGTAACACGCGAAGGTCAAGTGCTTCCTGCCGATCCGTGACCATGCACGCTCCTGACCGAAAACTCCAGCCTATCCTGCGAAGACTGAGCACTGCTACTTCAGCTGGGGCTGCTGCTTGTCTCCAAGGTGATTGGACTCCTTCGAGACGGCCCAGGGCTCCTTCAAGACACCGTTCCAAAACAGGAAGCTTCGGAAACGACTCCCAGACCGCCGCCGCCCATTGGAACACAACCATCCCGATGTTCAACAGCAGCGGGTCCACTCGGACCCCTTCAGCATAGCTCAAGAGACGGAGCCCGACCGTGGAGCCCTTGGGGACCTTCCCGAGACTTCCAGCAGCTCCCAATCGAAGACGATGAAGTTGGGTCGACGGAATCCCCATGATGCTGGACCCCCATAGAGCCGACGCCGTAGGGCCTCCACGCTGAATGAACCCCGTGTTGGCCCCCGCCTCCCTGAGCTTCTTAATCTTGATCGTTCTCCCTCTGGCCTTGTCCCACCTGTCCCGAGTGATCTGAACCCTCCGTAGGGACCCCATCACCGCGTCGGTGCCGAGGTTCCTTGCATGGTCCACCTTGCTTTCCTTCGGGAGGTCCCACAGGGGCTGTAAGGCCTCATTCAAGTCCGAGTCGCTAGTCATGTACTTCGACTTTTCCGAGACGGGGAGCTCGAGCTCCGAGAAACTGGACAGCAGGGACTGCACACCTGCGGCGAGCTGCGGTGCAATGAGCTGCTGCGGACCAACAATCTGCAGCGCGATATCGTCTATCACGTTACGGATGCACAACTGCGGCCGGCCAGACTGCGCGGCCGAGAGCGGCGACAACAAGAGCAACTTCGTAAGCGTGGTAGCTGCAGAGCACCCTGCTATGACTGCCCCATTGCCTTGCACCTTCCTAGATACCGCCCCTCCATAGTGCAGCATCCTATCCCCTGCATAAATCACGCACAAACCTCGCAGGAGCTTCAAATTGAAACCGTGCTGGCACGCCGCGCGATACAAGTCCATATGGTCGATGTGCTCATAGAACTTCTTAAGGTCCAGGAGCACCGTCGCCGCCGAGGTCCCCAGGACTTTCCCGAAATGGGCCAGCATGTTGTGGACCCATCCTGCTCGTTCACAGGTAGACGTGGCCCCGACGCCCCAGAAGAAGGCCTGCTCGTGGGCCTGTTCCCAGGTACGGCAGATGTTTTGACGGCACTTCGACCAGATCTTGGTGAACATGCACAATAATCCTATCGGGCGTACTCCACCATCTGGCTTGTCGAGGAAGATGATATTCGTCAAAAACTCTGCGATCACACAGGGTCGATCCTCGAACGAGCGAAGGATGTCGATAACACGCAATTGATACTCTTCTGGAAGAAACAAGATCTGGCGGGGATGGAAGGAGTCCCACCCAAGACCAGCCCCTTCCCCATACGAGTTACACACACGTCTCAACTGTTCCAGAGAGATAGGTGGTAATTCTTGTCCCAACACATCCCAATGAGCTGGGTGATCTTTGCTGAGCCTGCCTTCTTTGTGCCAGAGGGGAAGCCACTGCTCTAGAAGCTGGAGGAGCGCGAGCTCACCGTTGACTGGTAAGCGGCCGTGGTCGTCTACGACACTGAACGGGACCGTCCTGTCTGCGCGAGAAACCCTGGAATATGCATGCGCTGCCTTCCCTCCCCGCTGCACTGACGACTTAGCCCACTCCTTCCACTCCGATAGGGACTCCTTGGCGTCCGACTTTCGCAGGCCTTCTACATACTCTCGTAACTGCCCGAACAGCCCTTCTAACTCCTCTCTGAGCCCCATGGATATCCCTTCGACTAGGCTGACCAAAAATCGGACATTCGTGCCTTCGTCTGGCGCCTCCAGCGCCGAGATCATCCCGAACAGGGCGGCACACCATTCATGAAAAAGACCGCGAGCTCTGGCGCCTAGCATATCTGGGCCAACTGCAGCTGCTCGACGAGCCAACGCCTCGAAGGACATCCAACTGGTGGTCCGCT